GCACTGACTCCGTATTTTGTGGACAAATGTGCACCCAATTTGTGGACAGCAACGTCCCACAGAGTTTTCCACTTTTAAAAATAGTTGGTTTGCAAATTATAACAACTTGCATTTATTTAGCACCCAACACACAGGATAGTGTCTCAGAGCACTACACAGTGATAGTGTTGGATGCCAAATAGGCTGTCGAATACAATTCCCACCATTGTTCATGGCTGTTAACCTTTTTTTCACACCTATCTGCATCACCAAAAGTAACCATGAATATTTTGTAAGTAACTTTATTGTGCAAGCAAGTAAATATTATCTCACATTACAATGCAGAAGGGAGATTACAATAACATTTTTAAGTTCATCAGTTTTGGAAAACATCAGTAAATAAAATCCACATTAGCATCAGTCTGAAATGAATGTTAACTGCATGCCTGTAGTTTTATTTTTCAGCAAAGCCACAAATGTGCATTACAGAGGTACAAATGTTTAAGATCCTTGGAATCACAATTATTTCTGTGGAGCTGACTTCTGCTCAAGTCACTGGCCCAGTTAATAGGTTTCCACATTTAACAAGTATGGACGGCGCTTTGGCTCAGTACAACAGAGGAGCCAGCCAGCATCTGGAATAACAATTATATTAACACCTACTTATTTACTAACTCATGGCTCCAATCAATGAAACGCTATGGAGTGGAAATGATCATGTAACAAAAAATCTTACAATTGCAAAACTCTGAAGCAGTGTCTGGCTCGCAAGCTCCAGATCCCTCCCCCAATAATGAACCATTCTTTGTTAAAGGCACACCAGTTGCATACATCATATTCTTTACATTGAGGAATGTCAATTTTTCTACGGCTCATATAAAAATCAGTAGACAGCCACATATTGCACAAATTCACAGAAATACTAGTCACTTTCTTATTATGGGTAAGATTGCATTAGGTGTAATTGGAATTTGAAAGGATGCAAATTCTTAAACATAAGAATTTTGCAACGGTAATTGAGAGATCTTAATAGTTGGTCAACAGTGAATGAATAAAGATGAACTAGAAAGATCTGGCACCAGTCGATTAGATTGCATTATACTATACATAGAGAGTTACGTGTCACTTTTATATTGAAACTGCTCAATCCTAAAGAAAATCTGAATTGTAAAGTAACATTGTACGGTACATTAAAGCACCAGAACTCAGCAAGAGTACATCAATGGAATTTCATCCTTGCATCTTGAATACATAGAGAATGCAACTTTAAGAGCACATCCAAAATCTTTAGACCAGATCATAAATTTGACTGCCAAAATGGTTCACTTGTGTACCAGAACGTTCAACATGTCAATTTGGAGACATTTGACTGACTGACTCCTGGCCAGTCTCTAAGAATCATTCAATAAAAAAAAATCATGAATGTATTTACAACAGTTCTTTGCAAAAAAATATTTGCGAGTCAGTACAAATAATAAATACTTATACATAGCTAAATAAAGATGCTGTTAATTTCCAGAAGAAATAGTTGACAGACAACGAAAAAAAACAATTGCAATAGAATGCCAAATACTTCAAACAATTTGAAATGTTGCAGGTTACAGTTTTCCTCCCAAGATACTGTACATTTGCATATATTTTTTCCATCGCTGTTGAGCTTTGCTGTCTGAACACGTTTCTCTACTGAGCACACTCAGATTGTTCCAGATTGAAGAACTCTGAGCTTTGTAGTTTACGACATTTTTGAGAAATCGGAAAAGTGACTAACTCAGGGCACAATAACCAGCTAAGTAGTAACCCGAAATTCCACTATATTTCACCTTAGAATCTAAAATCACACAGAAATGTGGGAAATTTAAAAATGCATCTTGAATTTCGAAGAAAAATCCACCCCCGCACACCCTATTCTTAAACAGAAAGCATTTTCCAGTGAATTCTGGTAAATTTTAAGACAAAACGTTATCAGAGGCTAAGGAATTGATGAAACTTCAGGCCTTCAATTTTTACTGAGGTACGATTAAGAATTATTTTGCAAAATAACAAAATTTGGAATGCTTTTAAAGCTCAACAGAAGGAAACTAAACAATCAGGACATTGAAATAAAGATACAATTCACCATTGACCTGGCTACGTTCATGTTCTTTAAAATACCTTAATGTCCACCAGGGAACAAGTTTATCTTAATCCATCATTGTTGCATTAAATATTCATTACTCAAAGTTCATTATAAATTCAAAAGCCAGTGAACTAATTTTAGAAAAAAAAGGGCAAGTTTTGAAAAAAAAAGGCAGAACAGTTTTTGTTTTGCATCAAATGTTACGGCTGTGAAGTCAAAACCCGAAAGATCACATTATCTGAATCTCAAACACACAATTGATTCTGTTTAAAAAGATACAAATCTGTGAATGAACACACTTCATGAATAACACAAGGAAAATAGACAAATCAGAAAGAAATTATTTTATTAAAGAAATTAAATTATTTCGCCCAATAGATTCCATCTAGTCTTACTCCATAAGACCATTTTTCTTAAAATTTAAGAACAAGCAGAATTGCAGCAAAATAAATATTTATTTACTTGTATTTTGGAAGCCTGATCTTTTAATGAACAGCAAAAAAAAAGGTTTCCAAATTAAGTGTGAATTTAAGAATTTTCCAACCTTCTGCAGCATCTTAAATTTTAAGACAAATGAGGATTTCAGTGGGAGAGAAGATCACTGCTGCTCCTCCCCACCCCCCAGGCATGTGCAGTAACACCAGCAACACGGAAGTGCTTAACTGCTGATCATGTCCTGTTATAAGGTTGATTGGGTTTTAGGGACCCTGACTGCCACATTATGACAGGGCTCTACTGTATGTTGGTTGATAAGTACAGGATTCGTCATTTGTTGATGTAGAAAATCTCAATGAAATTTTATTATGCTACCAGTGAACTGAAAAGGGTAACTTGAACGGAAGGAGGGAGGTGCAAATTTCCCATCCATTACTTCACGCTAACTAAATGCCGTTTATTTTCCCAACACGTGCTGATCAAAATAAAGTTAGTTAAAAACTCCTGAGGCACCAATAACATTGCTTGCCAGTTAACTGGCTGTACGTCACACCGAACATTTGGAACTCTGCTCTGGGTGATAGAGAATGGGTTGCGGTGGACCTAGAGTGGGGTTCCCACATCAGTGTGATTCTCTTCTATCTACTATTTGCAACTTGAAGTTTTTAAGAATAGAAATCAGACCCCATTATTAATTTTAACATTTGGAAAATCAATTAGAAAATAAGACGTTCGTCTGAAGGTCTCAACATTTTGTTTGCAATTCAACAAACAAGATGTTCCTGATGATATTATTTTCTCTTAAATTTACAATACGCAAAACCCAACCAACATATCATTTCCCTACAAAAATAATGCTGCCACTCACCAAACCTGGGATCAATGCAGAAACAAGTTTTTAAAAAATATATATCAATAAGATTTAAGAGTGCAACATCAGTCAACTATTGAATAATAGCAATGTTGGTAGGTAACAGCATACATTCACAAAGCTTTCACCTTCAGAATTAGATTTTGAATGTGCATATAGTTGTTAATAGTAATCCTTGCATTTGATATAGCGCCTTACACTGTGAAGTGAATTGACTGTATATTTTGTGGGCGAATAAATATACTCAATACTAAATTGGTTAGTTCTGAGGGATGCACTGTCCTGATGCATAAGAAAAATGACCAAGAACATTTTTTGGAGGCAAAACCTCCCAGAAGATCAGGTATTTAAAGTTTGATGTAATACTCATTAATTATCACTCGACATCTCTAAGAATTTAACACTTCTCTGCAGGAGGGGGGGAGGTAAGCAGGGTTTCCTTGTTGCTAAACTGGCTCCAAGGTGACATGCTTGGCAACAGAATGTCAGAATTGAGCCAGACATCTTTGGCAATCTTGGTAGTCCGGTTCGTGAGTCAGGCAGGTCCACAGTACTCCAGGCTCCAGAGCACTGCTAATGACAGCACAGCCGGTCTAGCTCATTGGCAGGACTTGGAAGGGCAGACTAGTCCTGGGGGCAGGGATTCCTTCCCACTCAGTTCCCATTAACCCTGCAAGCGAAAGCCCTAACAGATAGGGCGGTCCTATCTGGACAAGCAGTGGGAATGCTTTCCAGACAGCAAAATCAATGGCAAGTTTTGCCCACAAATATACAGTCAATTCACTTTACAGTATATTCTGTGAAGTGCTTTGAGATGTCTAAAAGACGTGAAAAGTGCTATATCAAATGTAAGAATTACTATTATTATTATAATAAGTTATGGGGGTTTAGTTAGTTAAGATTCCAGCAGTACCCCAATGCACACTCTGGGGTCCCCAAGCCTTGGCTGTGTCCAACCTGCATCTAATATTTTCCAGAATTAAGTGAGCAGGATGCACATTCCATTCCAATGATCTATCTCTGGGATTTCAGTTTTGTTTGGATACTCTTAAGCATGATGATGGCTTTCCACATGTGTTAAGACACCTGGCTGACCAAAAGACCAAAAAAAACATTCCTCTAGGGTCCTGATTTCAATCACATGCACATGCGTACCACAAGCCAGCATCTCGCTGAAAAACACTTTATATTTGTAGAGACCACTTTGTGAAACACTACTTCAATATTAAATTCAATGCAACAATAAATTGTTCAGCGCCCTTCTATTTAACGCTGTTGCAATAAAGCAATATAATGGAGTGCTGTTGGCTAAAAAGCCACATATTCCCTAGCCCTGTGCAAGCAGCAAACAAGATTTCTGTGTATGTGTAAATAAACCCAGGGCCAAACCTCCAGCACCAAACTTTTTTTAAAAAAAGCTATTAAAGAGATGAGCATGTGACCTTATTTTGTGTACACTCCTAAGGTTTGCTGTCCTAGGTTCTTATTAAAAATTGGGCTATTAGTGAACTGGAGACACCTGGAGGGGTTTAAAAAAAAAGTATTTTGTTACAAATTTAAAAAATTGCACATAGAAAGCTTCGAGAATGTTAGACAGCAAAGATTGTCTCAGGAATGTTAGAACAAAGCAATGTAACATTATCACAATTTCAGGCTCAAAAAATATGCTAGCAAAAACTTAATTAACATAACTAACTCCAATTCAACACTCAATAAGAACAGATCATGGGGTTGGCGGGAGAGAATTATTTTTTGTTACATTTTTCAGCAGCAATACCACATGTAGTTCTGCAAAAAACACAAAACTTTCCTCTATGGCAATAAACACTGAAATGGCCTTAGCTAGCAGACCTGAAAAGACTTAGTTTTGCTAAGTCATTTTCGGAAGCTCCTGCTAGCTCTTGGACTTGCAAAATTTGCAGTGAATCCCTCCACTGAGGTCTGTCACAACACCTTTTTCAACCAGACCTGCCAGAAATTTCCTCTCCGTCTCCACGTTGTGCATAGTTTGAGCTTTCATAGCTTCCATCCGGACATTCTCATAGTAGTGCAAGGGGGTATCTGGTTCACCCAGGTTGTATCCAAATCCCGCCAAACTGACCTCATCACACAAGTGCGTAGCCAGAACAACAGCGCTGACTCCTAAGGTAGGAATATTCTAAAAACACAAAGAAGCATTCAGGTTTCCAAATTCAGAGCATTAACATTTTAAAAAAGAGAAGTCTAACAAGTCAATTCCATTTTGAAATTATAAAAAAAACTTGCAACACAAATGGGTCATTAAGCTCATCCCTTCCACAAAATATGAACAATGTACCCTGTCATGGTCTCTAATGCACTTAATGTTTTATTTAAAATTGGCAATTTTTTTGTGAACTTAAAACTACAAGGCACAACTCAATACCCTCCTTTTCGACCGTGCCTTCAACCGCCCTCCTACCTCTCTGCCCTCCCTCATCTCAACTCTGCCCCCCCACGCTCGGGTCCTGATCCCCTACTGTTCAGCGCCTTGGGACGTCTTCCCGACGTTAATCTTGGCGTCTTGTTAGCCCCTCAACTATCTCTTAACTATCCACATCACAGCATTAAAAAAATAAACTGGATATAAGGAAGCAATTCAAATTCTCACCAGTGGGTGGCACCAAATATCCAATTATAGGATCCAATATTTTGAAGTGATTCCCCAAGTATTGAGGAGCTCAGTTGTACAGCAGTAGACAATTGAATGCAAGTGAGCAAAACAATGATTTTTTTTTTAAAATGACACTCGAGACATAATGCATTTCTTTGTTTTGACAACAAGTTGCATTTATATAGCACCCTTCACGTGGAGTAGCATCTGAGCGCTTCACACACAAATGTTATGCAGTAACCATTTAGAAATGTGTCATAGGCTGGACCAATAAAAAAAGTGTGGAAATATTTGCCAAGAATTGCAGGAAGATTTGCCCATTTTGCAGAAAAGTGCGCAGGGGGAGATTAGCAAATTTTACAGAAAATTACCGTGAATTGATTGGTGCTATTGAGGTACATTTTACTGCCAACCTTTTTTTATTTTATTGATAAACACTAAACATCAGGAAATAACATATTAGATTGTTGCCNAAAAAATATTAATTGCTTGTTTAACAAAAGCTGTGTAGACCATATTTTTGGGGGGGTGGGGGGGAAACACTAGTGAGGCTACAGGAGCTCTCAAGGCCTGGCACCGCACACAGACACAGAGACCCAGAGACAGACAGACAGACACACACAGACACCCTCACATAGAGACATTCACAAACACAGAGACACACAACACAGACACTGAAACACAGAGACACATACACTCACACAGACACACACTCACACTCAAACACAGAGACACACACCCACACACACTCACACAGACACTCAAACAGACACACTCACACACAGACACTCACTCACACACAGACACTCACTCACACACAGACACTCACTCACACTCGCACACAGACAGACACTCACTCACACGCACACAGACAGACACTCACTCACACACACACAGACAGACACTCACACACACAGACAGACACTCACTCACACCCACACAGACAGACACTCACTCACACCCACACACAGACAGACAAACAGACTCACTCACTCACACACAGACACTCACTCACACCCACACAGACACACACTCACTCACTCACATACAGACAGACACTCACTCACACACAGACAGACACTCACTCACACACAGACAGACACTCACTCACACACAGACAGACACTCACTCACACCCACACACAGACACTCACTCACTCCCACACACAGACACTCACTCACTCACACACAGACAGACACTCACTCACACACACAGACAGACACTCACTCACACACACAGACAGACACTCACTCACACCCACACACAGACACTCACTCACTCCCACACACAGACACTCACTCACTCACACCCAGACAGACACTCACTCACACCCAGACAGACACTCACTCACACCCACACACAGACAGACACTCACTCACACCCAGACAGACACTCACTCAATCACACCCAGACAGACACTCACTCACACCCAGACAGACACTCACTCACTCACTCCCAGACAGACACTCACTCACACCCACACACAGACAGACACTCACTCACACACACTCAGACACTCACTCACACACAGACAGACACTCACTCACACCCACACACAGACAGACACTCACTCACACCCACACACAGACAGACACTCACTCACACATAGACAGACACTCACTCACTCACTCACACACAGACACTCACTCACACCCACACACAGACAGACACTCACTCACACACAGACACTCACTCACACCCAGACAGACACTCACACCCAGACAGACACTCACACACAGACACTCACACTCAGACACTCACACACAGACACTCACACTCACACACAGACACTCACACACAGACACTCACACTCACACACAGACTCACTCACTCACTCTCACTCACTCACACCCACACAGACAGACAGACACTCACTCACACAGACAGACAGACACTCACTCACTCAGACAGACACTCACTCACACACAGACAGACACTCACTCACACACAGACACTCACTCACACACAGACACTCACTCACACACAGACACTCACTCACACACAGACACTCACTCACACACAGACACTCACTCACTCACACTCACACAGACACTCACACTCAGACACAGACACTCACACACAGACACTCAGACACACACTCACTCACACACAGACAGACACTCACTCACACCCACTCAGACAGACATACACGCACTCACACAGACACAGACACTCACACCCATAGACACACAGACACTCACTCACACAGACAGACACAGACACTCACTCACACAGACAGACACTCACACCCACAGACAGACAGACACTCACTCACACAGACAGACACACAGACACTCACTCACTCAGACAGACACTCACACCCACAGACAGACAGACACTCACAGACAGACACAGACACTCACCGACAGACACAGACACTCACCGACACAGACAGACACACAGACACTCACACACAGACACAGACACTCACTCACTCAGACAGACACTCACACCCACAGACAGACAGACACTCACTCACACAGACAGACAGACACTCACACCCACCCACACAGACAGACACTCACACAGACAGACACACAGACACTCACTCACACAGACAGACACAGACACTCACTCACACAGACAGACACAGACACTCACTCACACAGACAGACACACAGACACTCACACAGACAGACACACAGACACTCACTCACTCAGACAGACACTCACACCCACAGACAGACAGACACTCACTCACACAGACAGACACAGACACTCACTCACACAGACAGACACAGACACTCACTCACACAGACAGACACACAGACACTCACTCACACAGACAGACACACAGACACTCACTCACTCAGACAGACACTCACACCCACAGACAGACAGACACTCACTCACACAGACAGACAGACACTCACACCCACAGACAGACAGACACTCACTCACACAGACAGACACTCACACCCACAGACAGACAGACACTCACTCACACAGACAGACACTCACACCCACAGACAGACAGACACTCACTCACCCACACAGACAGACACTCACTCACCCACACAGACACTCACTCACACAGACAGACACACAGACACTCACTCACTCACACAGACAGACAGACAGACACTCACACCCACAGACACACAGACACTCACTCACTCACTCACACAGACAGACAGACAGACACTCACAGCCCCACTCGGGTTCTCGGCTGTTTAACAATCACAGCGGCAGTGGCTCAGAGTGAAGCCCATTGGCCGCTCGCGCCCCAGCGCCCCGCCCCGCCCAGTGACGTCAGGAGGCAGCCGGGGAGCCGCGGACCAACGAGGTGTACAGCGGCTCTGGCGCTGATGGGCGTTTGTGGCGGATGGCGGAGGACGTGCGGCTGCACTTTTGTGTTGGCTCTGGTAATCGGCCACACAGCTGTCCACAACTCCAGCAGTGCAGAGGCCCTCACCATACCTGGTCCCATCGCCACAGCTTCCATCGAGGTTCAGGTAACTGCAACAGATCTATCGCCGTCTCTCTGATGATCTCTGGGTTCAAGATTCGAAACTGTTCTGGTTCGATTGGGAGTTTCCTTGGGACTGCTTTCCAGAACCAGAGACTGTCAAAAAATGGCTAAAAGCACAACAGGTATAAGATTAACAAATTACAAACACCTTCATTGATAGGGAGTTTCGATTGTGAAGACGATAAAGATCCAAATTTATACCTCTGATGCAACAAAAGATATAAAAATCAATTGCTTATTGTTCATCATAGCAAAAGTTCTGTGCCCTCCAGTCTCCAGTTAATAATGGTCATTTACCCCACAACTCATGGGTCAACAAATTGCATTTATATAGCACCACTCATGTCAGGGGGACATCCCAAGGTGCTGACCAGTGGAGCGTTTGCACCCAAGTTTGGCGGTTTGATTTGGGAGGGGTGGGAACCAAGGGGGTGGGAAGAAGACCAAAGGCAGTCAAAGAGGAAGGTCAAGATGGACATTGAAGGAGGCGAGGGAAGGGTTGGGACAAAGGGATTCCAGGATGGAGCAGCATCAGATTATCAGTGGTAAAGAAGAACTTAAGTTTTAGATCACCTGATCATGTTGAAGGGTCACAAAATGCTTCATTTTATTTGCAGTGACTAGTTTTGTAGAAAAAAAGCAAACAGCCATAATAATAATCCCTGCATTTGATATGGTGCATTATGTCTTCAAGGCACCTCAAAGCACTTCACAGAATATACTGTAAAGTGAAACGCAGCAGCCAATTGCGCACAGCAATGTCCAACGAACTGTCATGGATTGAGTGACCAAATTATTTTTATTATTATTTTTTAAGTGATTATTACCCCCGGAAATCGATCCAGCAATTGACTAACAACCGGGTTCCTACTTACTGCTCCTAGGTAAACAGAGGCGTGTGGAGTCCGGAAACTTGCCTAACGTTTCGCCCTGCCCCGGGAATCAAACCCAGTCCTCTCACTTGCGAGGCGAGTGCTATAACCCATACTTTTTACAACTCCACATAGGTGAATGGCCAGTAATATCTAGAGGACTGGCGAGCAGGACACAAATTACTTCCTCTATGATAAACAAAGGTAACAGATTTGTTATTATATCTGATTTAGCACCAACCCTAAATTGGAATCATTATAGTCTTCATAATTTGAGCTCCCAGTGTAGAATGAAAACATTTCAGTTAAAAGAGACAACTTCAGAATAGCCGTCGGGTGTCCAAGATTATTACTCAATAGAAAGATACTCTTGCTTCATGATTATTTGGTCTCAGATGACGAGAAATTCCATCTCGTCTAGATTTACTCTATGAAACTTCCTTCTCTTGTCAAATCATGTCATGATATTTTTGACATCCATCTGAACAAGTAGACATGGGTCTCAATTTAGTAACTCATCCAAAAAACAGCACCTCTGACAACACAAGTAGTGCAATGGAGTGTCAACCTAGACTATGAGTTCAAAGTCCCAATGTGGGACTTGATCCCACCACCTTTTGACAAGATTGATCAGAGGCAAGAGTGCTACCAACTTAGCCAGGCGGTCGATAAAATGTTGAAGTAGTGTAGTAAACAAGTTGAAACATCTCTCTTTAAATGTGTGTTATCCTAACTCAATTGTTAGTACTCTCACCTCTGAGTTAGAAGATTGTGGGTTCAAGTCCTACGTTGTGACTTGGAGCACTTATCGTCTATGCTGACACTCCAATGCAGTGGGAATGTGCTGCACTATCATCCTTTGGATGAGATGTTAAACGATGGTACTGTCTAGATTGCCATTAAAGGTCCAATGGCAGTATTTGAAAAGAGAAGTTTCTCTTAGTTGTCTGGCCAACGATCCCACAAAGTAAAATTGATCATTCACTTCTTGGTTGTTTGCTGTATATAAATTGGCTAGGCCACAAAATACACGCAGTTGCACCACAAAACAGTGTATGCCATGAAGCACTTTTGAGATGCCTCAATGGTCTGATAAGGTGTATATCAATTATAAGGACTTGTAGATTAATAAGGCTGTAAAGAAAATCGCAGGCTGTACACTGCAACTTTTTTTTAAAGTTGCCACAATTTTTAATGACTATATTGAGTATGTGCTCCCATTGGAGCTGTTGGTAGGATGGTCCAATGGGAGCATGAAGCAGGTTGATGCACAGGTGGATAGTCCAATGGAAACATGTACTCACTTTAGGTACTTGAACTTACCTCACAAAATCACAACTTTACAAACTGTGACCACAATGTCTGGATCAAAACATCACGACTTCCTAACAGTCTTATATATTAATCAAACAGCAAAAAATTGCATTTATGTAGTGCCTTTCACATCGGCAGGGGTGCCCCAATGCACTGGGCAGTCAAGAGTTTGTGTCAAGAGGGGTGGATGACGGGGGAAGGGGTTGGGGGTGGTAGGTTGATCAAAGGCATGGTTAAGTAGGAAGGTGGAGTCCTGTAGCTCAGTTGTTAGAGCTCTATCTATCATGCCCTTTGATGATCTTATAGTTTTCTATAAGATCCCCTCTAATCCTTCTATATTCTAGAGAATATAGGCTCAAATTGCTCAGCCTATCCTCGTAACTCATCCCCTTCATCCCTGATACTAACCTAGTAAATCTACGCTGCATCCCCTCCAAGGCAAGTACATCCTTCCTTAAATAAGGAGACCAAAAATGCACACAATATTCCAGGTGTGGTCTCACCAGGGCCCTACACAGTTGCAGCAAAACTTCCCTACTCTTATACTCTAATCCTTTCATAATGAATGCTAACATACCGTTCGCCTTCCTAATTGCTGCTGCACCTGCAGACTAACTTTCTGTGATTGGTGTACAAGGACACCCAAGTCCCTCTGGACGCTAACACATTCCTCGGAGTCCTGTAGCTCAGTGCTTAGAGCACTCGCTTTGTAAGCGAGAGACCTGAGTTCAATTCCAGGCAGAGGGCGAAACCTTGGGCAAGTTTCCTTACTCCACACAGAGCCTAATAATAATCCCTCCAAAACCAAAAACAATAATAAATTGGTCATTTTCAATCTACGACTGTTTGTGGGACATTGCTGTGTGCAATTGGCTGCCGCGTTACGTCCACAAATATACAGTCAATTCACTTTACAGTATATTCTGTGAAGCGCTTTGAGACGTTTCGATGACGTGAAAAGCGCTACATCAAATGCAAGTATTATTATTCCAATCTCTCTCCTAAAAAATAACCTGCTCTACTGTTTTTGCTACCTTGGTGGATGACTTCGCACTTCCCTACATTATACTTCATCTGCCACCAGCTGCCCAATCACCTAACCTATCTATGACTCACTGCATTTTTTAAATGTCATCCTCTGTGTTGACACTACCTCCTAGTATTGTGTCATCCGCGAATTTAGATATATTAACTTCGATGTCCTCATCTAGATCATTGATGTAGATGGTAAATAGCTGAGGCCCAAGGACTGATCCTTGTGGCACTCCAGTAGTCACATCCCGCCAATCTGAAAAGGACCCGTTTATCCCTACTCTTTGTTTCCTACCCGCTAACCATTCCCCACGTTAATATGCTCCCCCCAATTTCATGGGCCCTTATCTTTTGGACTAACCTTTTATGCGGCACCTTACTGAATGCCTTCTGGAAGTCCAAATAGACCACATCCACTGATTCACCCTTATCTAGTTTACTCGAAATATCCTCAAAAAACTCTATGAGATTTGTCAAACATGACTTCCCTTTTGTAAAGCCATGTTGACTTGGCCTAATTATATTGTGCTCCCCTAAACACCGCACTATCACATCCTTAATCAATGATTCTAAATTTTTTCCTATCATTGATGTGAGACTAACTGGCCTATAATTCCCCATCTTTTCCTTTCCGCCTTTTTTAAATAGTGGTGTGACATTTGCGATCTTCCAATCCATGGGGACTGTTCCAGAATCCAAGGAATTTTGGAAGATCAGACACAAGGACTCCACTATCTCATAAGCTACCTCTTTTAAAACCCTGGGATGCAAGCCATCCTGACCAGGGGATTTGTCACTTTTTAGTGCTAACAGTTTCCGTAGCACCAATTCTCTACCAACGAAAATTTCCCTAAGTTGCTCACTGTCCTTATATCCTTGGTGCATCTCTATTGTTGGCAGACTTGGTGTGTCTTTTAGGGTGAAGACAGATGCAAAGTACCCATTTAGGGACTCTGCCATGTCCTTATTACAACTTCTCCCGTCTCTGACTGAAGTGGACCTACATTTATCCTCACTAGCCTATTCCTCTTAATGTATTTGTAAAACTTTTACAATCAGGGATGGGAAGCCAGTGGAGTCGAATGAGAATAGGGTTTGAGAGTCACGGAGCCTGGTGCAGGAGAGGACATGAGTTCTGGATGATCTGCAGCCTACAGAGGGAGGAGTTGGGGAGGCCAACAAGCAAGCAGTTTGTAATAGTCAAGCCTCAAAGTAATGAATGCATGTATGAGGGTTTCGGCAGCCTGAAGTGTGAGCCAGTGGCGGAGCCGGGAGATGTTGCAGAAGTGGGTCATGATACGGATGTAGTGTAGAAAGGATAGTTATGAGTCAAACAAGACACCAAGATTCCGGACTGGCTTAGTAAGGTGGAGTGTGCATCCATGTATGGTGATCCTATCAGCGCCTGAGGTGTGGAGGTGCTGCCGGGAGCCAATCAGCATGATGGGCTTGGAAGGACAGAGTTTAAAACTCACAACTGTAGAACACAGCATGGTACATATGAATGAATATACTCACCACTTCCTCTTTTTTGACCATAGCCTTTAACCAACTGAAATCAACACCCTTATACATAACTGCAACAAAGAGCATGTGAGGATCATAGTCATGTAAAGATTTGGGTGTTCCCTCTGGGTAGCTCATTCGTATAGTTGTT